CCCCAAAACCCCAAAACCCCAAAACCCCAGGATTTATAGATATATTGAAACTTTAGAGGTCCTACTCATGAGGGATAGGTATCTTGATAGAATTAGACAGACTTCCCATGTCAAATGACTTTCTCTCATTTGACTCAGATGGACGAAATAGCTTCACTTTTGACTTATTAGAGCCATAAGTAATCGGACTTGTTCTCTTATTGCGCTTTGTCATAGGCATGTAGCTGTCGAAGTGAAACGAGATTTGTTGCTGAGGATCCCCCAAATCAAACTCTGGCTTTGACTTCCCAAAAGAAAGGCTTGTGAGGTTCAAGGATGTTGATCCAATAGACTTCATAGCTGTTCGCTTGATTAAACTCTTTTTCCTTTTGAAATTGCTTAGTTGGAGATTTTTCTTTGATACTCTTGATTTATCTTTATTTCCCTAAAAATCCTCATGATGTTAGGATCTCTCTGTTGTGATTTTGGGATCTTTCTAGCTCTATGTGCATTGACTCATTCTCTTTGATCATTGCTTCCATCTGCTTCTTCATTGGAGCATCGAGTTTATCAACAGTTTGCTTAATTTTGAGATTGAAATCTGCCTGATCAGTTGCCATTTTGTTGATCTGGCTGTATAATATCTCAAATTTCCCGTCAATATCTTCAGTATAGCTTTGATGAAGTCTCTCCAACTTGTCGCTCGGGAGATCTTTGCTAAGCATATTTTCCTTGGCTTTGTTTTGTAAAATTTTGATTCTCCTGCGATCCTAAAGCTCATGAACCAATTATTACCTCATGTTGGTGAACCTCTCATCTAATAATACGCTCAAAGCCGTCCTTGAACTCCTTGCGGTTGGCCTCAATCATCTTCTTTCCCTCTTTGAATATCTTGGATATTTTAGAATATTTCTCTGAAATATCAGTAATTCCTCGCTTATACTGACTGTCCAGCTGATTTTGCCTGCAGATAATGTCTAAAATTAAGATCGAGAAGTACCTTGGTGTTCTTCTAGCCATTTGTCGTAGTTTTTCTGAAGATATTCAACCAGCTCATCCATCTCCTTAAACCTCTGATGTCTTTGAGCCTGCTGAGTCTTCATTATTTTGAAATCTTCTAGTGCTTTTTCTAAATTAAAGCTCCAAATTTGTATCTAAGTAGCTTAAATAGTGAAGAGTACTTTCTTATTGAGCTCTTCGATCTTGATCTTCAAGCCAGCGCCTGGTCCCTTCTTGCGACTACTGACTATTGAAACTCTTGAGTTCATCCGTCTGAGTCCAGCCTTACTACGGACAGTAGACTCAGTCTCTTTGCGTTGCATCTTGGCTTGCTTTACAAGCCCAGCCTTGTTAAAACTTTCCTTAGTGTTACTGAAATTTAGGGATGATTCTTTGTCAGCAACCGTTGAGTTTTTAGCATCTTGACTAGCTCTAAAAATATTCCATTAAAACATACTGATTTTGGGAAGCATCCTTTCGTAATGATACATTCTTGTTTGAAGTCTGGAGTTTAGAGGTCGAAGGAGCTGGATCTGGGGTCCGATCCCTCCTAGAGTTCTCCCCAATCTCAATCTTTACAGGCTTGATGACTGGAGAATCCTCATCTTCGTCCTTAAGATGAATCTCTTTTTGGCTGTCAAGCTTTACTTTGTTCCTCTTTTTAGAATTAGCTGGAGAGCTTGCTGGAGATACAGAGCTCATCTCTGTCTCTGGTTTCAATGTCTCAAGAGCTGAATCTTCTTCAATAATAGGTTTCACAAGAGATGAAGGCAGATTTTCTCCTTGTGATGAATTATTCTTATGAGATGATGTGCCAGATTCCCTCTCAAGCTCAGGATTTTCTAACTGATCTTCTTGATTCTCACCCTCTGAATTAGAATTCATGTTTTCATTCTCTCCAGATTGATGTAAAGAAAGGACGTCCTCTTCTACACTGTCTTCTTCATCAAACTCATCTTCAGAGTCTTCTTCATCAAAAGAATCAACGATTTTCTTAAGATCTGCGACTTTCTGCTGGAGTTCGATAAATTCTAACTGGTCTGCCTTATCATTATCAAGTCGGTCAATTTCGTTTTGCATCGGGTTTCGATTTTCCTCTTCATCTTTGCGTTGCTTCTCCAAGTACTGATTGAAAAGCTCCATCTTCTCAAAGACCTCAAATACCTGCTCATCGGTCTTTTTTAAAGCTTCTTTGCTTGCTTTATTTATCTAGACTCTTCTTGAAGGAAGAGGCATCAACTTTGGCAGAGAGAAGTTCAAAGAACTTGACAACAAACTCTTCGAGTTTGTTGTCAATGCTCTTCTGCACCTCAGTTTTGAAAATGTTGAGCTTCACTTCAAGAGCTTGGTTAAGCACAGCATTCCTAACTAAACTTTCATGCTTGAGTAAAATCTCTCCTTGCTCTTCTAATTTTGAAGAGTTTTGCTTCGTGATGAGCATTGACTTTTCTATTTTTCGAAGTTTATGGAGGTTTATAGTGAGTAATTCCCTCTTTTGGTGCTTTAGGTTGAGGTCTGACATAAATGGGCTGAGCTTGGAAGGATCAACCATCGGTGTAATTTTCTTTTTCATATTTATTTCAGCCTTATAAAACATTACAGGGGTTTTGGGGTTTTGGGGTTTTGGGGTTTTGGGG